CACCAGGACCAAGCCGTGTAGTGCGGTCAACGTGCCCAAGGGATGGGATGCCATCCAAACAGAACTAGACAGGCTGAGCAGTGGGCCCAGGAGAATCTCATGACGTTCAATAGATCCAATTGGAAAGTCCTGCACCAGGGCCATGGCAACCCCCACTACCAATACAAGCTGGGGGATGAAAGGATAGAGCACAGCCCTGCTCTTTAGATGGCTCTGTTGTGATAGGACAGGGGTAAAAACTTCAAACTAAAAGAGGGCTGATTTAGCCTGGGTTTGAGTTTACATTGTCCTTATTTACAATAAGGATAGTGGCACAGGCTGCCCAGAGAGGTGGTGGTGTCTCATCCCTGCAAACAGCCAAGGTCAGGCTGGATTAAGCTCTGAGCACTGATGGAGCTGTGGGTGTCCCTGTTCATTGCAGAGGAGTTGCAATAGATGATCTTTAAGGGTCCCTCCCAGCTCAAATGATTCTATGATTGTATCACAGGAGGTAAATTGAATAATCTTTTAGTGGTTCATACGCTATTTCTACTGACTTCAATTGCAAGGTTAGATCAGTGTAAATAGGAATCTCACCTTGACAATGATATATTATCAAAAATATTCAGAAACTATACTCAAGCTGCGTAGAGATTGAAGGTTTTAAATATTTGTGATTTTTGAAGAGAAGGGAAACTTACGCTAATACCTTCAAGGGAGACTTTTGGTGACCAAACCAAGCCTGTTTTTGTGACTGGCTAGAGACAAGTCATTGTTTTGAGAGGAGGGCTCTTTATATAATACTGGAGAATGTCTGAGTAAAGCAAGAATAACTTTGGGTGTAGAAATAGGAGCTCATGGAGAAGCTAGCACTCTGAATGTGCTTTAGCTAACCTGGATGAAAAATCTCATAGAAAACTTGTTAGGATAATTGTTTTAATTTTCCAGCACTGCAAGATTTTGCAGGTGATGATGCAGTAATTACTGCTCAGAAAGCATGATAAGAAACAGCATAGCTCAAAATTACTTCATTGTTCCAATAGCTGATTTGAGAATGGAAAATACTCCCAGTACTATTATAAACAGCAGAGACATTGGCAAACTTTGCAGAAGAGCTGTTATTGTATGGGGCCCTGGGCAACCCAATCTACAGGGTAGCAACCCTGACTATGGCAGGGGGGTTGGAACTAGATGATCTTTAAGATCCCTTCCAACCCAAGCCAATCAATGATTCAATGATTCCTTGCTGCTTACCAAATTTAAAGCTCTGTAAGAAGAGAAAATTTCAACTAAAGCACTGTGAAGTGCATCATAATTACCTGTGAAAAGCATATTAGGTACATTTTATCAGCTGTTGCTGAAAGTAACTTGCAGAATAACATCATCTACATATATGACATAAGTGTACTGTTATAAGAATGGAATTTTAAAAATACAAATGAAAATTGAACAACTTTTGTTTTGCATTTCTATGGAAACAGTATTTGAAAGACTAGGATGTGGTGAGCATCATTACATACTGCTACTTTCACTTCCTTGTAGTATTTAAACAATAGATGGGTGTGTTAATTATGAGATATTGGAAGAACTGAAAGATTTCAATCTACACAGGTTGTTTAGCTTGATGGCAGGTTTCTATTATGTATAGTTAAAATGCAGTCCTTAGGATATACTTACAATTGAAGCTGATTACGAGTTAGTCAGTGAACTTTCTATGCAGCGTATTAGCTTGATGCGTTTTGTCAGAAATTGACTTACAGAAAGTGAATGATGAAACAGAACAATTCTTCTCTGATACAGAACAAAATTCAGAACTAGTAAGCTTACTTCAAGAATCTCTAAGACAGGATCTATGAACAAATGTGTGCCTTATGTGATTCGGAAAAAGTAGAACCTGAGTACCACTTACAACTAAAGCAATCTTCTGTCTGAACTAGAAGCCACTTCTGCCATGCTAATTGCTCTATTTAAAACCTTCAGTTTTTTGGGTTACTACTAATATGAAAGAAATTTGGGAATAATTTAATAATCTTATTTTGTTGAGGTCATGAAAAATGTATATTTCCATACTATCTCTTTTTTTTCCCCCCATTTGTGAGCACAAAATACATTAAATAATTTCCAAGTTAGAAACAGTTAACATTGTAAGTACAATTATTGCTCTGTGGGAGCACTCCACAGATCAGCAGAATCCCCTCTCCTTCAGTTACGCTGTCATAATACTATGAGGTGGTATTAAAGGCCTACAGGGAACGTGTGTGCAAACACAAAATAAGCCAGAATTCTTTAACCAAAAAAATGTCCAGCCTCACTAGGATCAAAGCGTGACAAGTATAAGAGATAATAGCAGGCGACGGGAATGAAGGATTAAGGCAGCGATAAGATCCTTCGGTTATATTTATCAGCAGTGTACATAAGTGGATGATGGAGCCACAGTCTATTTAAAACCAAAGCAGATTGGACGCTGCTCAATCGCATCAGATCACACAGAGCACTCTGCAGGGTCCCACTGGCTCTCACTAACAGGTGCTATAATCTTTTAGGTTTCCGAATAAATCCTCACCTGCATTCTATATAGGTCTTTAGCTCCACTTGTGACAAATGCCAATAAGTATTATTATCTACCTTCAGTAGGGGTTGTACCTAACACCTGCAGGGTTCACTGATCCCATACATACCTTACAGCATAATCGTAGAGCTAAATGAGGCCATCAGAACCTCTATGTTTTTTGTGAATAACTCGTTTTTGGGTGTGTTCACTCATGAAAGCAGAAAAAGCAGAAACCGACCACGGAAAAATTACTCACAAAGCATGACAGTGATGGAAGGCTACCTAGAGAATGAAACATGACACCAAAGGCAGCTTAGCGCTATTAATACTATTAGTACGAGAATGCACTCTCACTTTTTAAGCTTACATCTTTATTTTCTAATTTATTTTAGTACCTTCTTACATTTCTGAGGATAATAGGTAACACATATTTAACAGAAACTGAGATCAGTGAAACAGGAAAACTGGGAGGACCTTTCTCTGTTTCAAAAGTCCAACAACTTCCGAGGAATCGCGTCTTACTTCTCCAGTCCCAGAAGTGGCTTTGGAGGTGGCCCCAGCAGGCAGTTAGGACCTGGTCAGTCACTCACGCTGTCTCCTACAGTGGGATGGAGGAGAGAATCAGACCAAAAATGAGAAAAATCATGGGTTGGTATAAAGAAAGTTTAAGAAGTGAAACACAACAAAACAAATGGAAAACAAGTGATGCAATCAGGCAATCAATCGCTTACCACCTCCCAAGAGCAAACGTGTCCAAACAATCTCTGAGCAATGGCTACTTTGGAAAAACTTGCCTCCCCTGCCTTCATCACTGAGCATGATGTGAAATGATATGGAATATCCCTCTGATCAGTTTGGGTCATCTATGGCCTTTCTCAACCTCCTGCCCACCAGCAAGGCCTCTAGCTTTCTTGCTGCAAGGGACAACATGAGAAACAGAGGTCTTAAAGTTACTCAAGCATTGCTCAGCAATAGATGTGTTGTTAGTAATGTTTTAGTGACAAATCTAAAACAGCACTGTATGGGTTGCTGTGAAGAAAATTAACTCCATTCCAACCAGAACAAGTAAATAACAGGATTCTGAATATTCTTAAGCAATAGGTATGAATGTTCTATGAGAGTAAACGACATGTCAGGGTATTTTCCAATCACAATATCCAGTGTAAGGCCACTTTTTTAGAGAGTAGCTTGTTTTGAAGGTGTCATAGTAGAGCTTCCTTTGCTATCTTTCACAACATTTTTTTTCCTATCGTGGAAAAAAAAAATCATGATTGAGAAACCTTTCTAATTTGGGAAACAAAACAAATTAAATACATTTGTCCTTTTTTTTTAATTATACAGGGTTGTTTATTATTGTAATTATACAAAATTGCTTAGAAATAAAAACATTATGATTTCTTCATGTACTCATAACTGGGTTTTTTTGCTATTTATGCAATTATTTACATTAGTAAGTCAATAACTCTGACTACTGAGTTTGAAAAAAAAAATCATGCTACTGCTGTTTCTTAAGAGTAGACAATGATTAGACTATAACTGTAAAGTGCATCTCTAAGGAGCAGACTGGTTAACTCCATATTGACCAAATTCATATTAACACATACCAGCTGTCAGCTACAGAATTTATTCAGCCTTTAACAGCATTTATTGTCTCAAAAAAAAAAAAAAAAAGGTAACTGACAAATACTTCTTGTGACAACACCAAATTGTCCAATAAATTCCAGTAGGTGGTAGAGAAGATCTACTGCTTCTAGACAGCCCAAACAATGCCTAATGAGAACTTCACCTTAGGGTTGCTTTCTTGTTTTGTTATTTTACCTAGCCATGCAAGTGCACAGCTGGGACACTGAGATTATCCTATGTGCATGTGCATGTTTTCTCAGTGTTGCTCTTCACACCTTCACCTGAAACCACAAGGAAACAGATTCTGATTTCCTTGAGTTCATAATAGGAACATGACTTAATGTTCTGTTGTGTAAGAGATTTCTGATATAAGGCAATATTATCTTAAAGGTTGAAAAAAGCCAAGATGGACAACTCAGAACTGGATACATAACATTTTCTAAATGGGTTCCTAAGATTTGATTTGCTTTCTCTACAATCACATCTGAAGAAATGCAACTGCAATTATGCTACTATCGTAAAGGTGTTTGTACCACCTTACATATATGAATTGCTGCTGCCATGTGATTTGGCAAAACGCATACTGAAGAACTAAAACATAATTTCATTCTTCTTTGCTGAAAGTTTTAAGCTCATGCTTCAAACCAAGCAGATTTTAGAGTACTTCACAAAATACATTTGGGCTTTGTGCTCCACTGCTTTGACAAATGGAGAACATAATCAAACAAATGAAGTAAGATACATCTTTTTTACTGCCATCCTTCCTTTGTGACTGAGAAAAGAACCTGAATTCTTTCCAGTATTTATCCTCTACAACTGTGGAAGAATTCTAGAAGGGTGATGTCTGCAGCTAACAAAAACATACCGATGGTGCTCTGCAACATCCAAACTCTTGCAAGACAGGAACTGTTAAAAAAAAAAAAAAAAAAAAAAAAAAGTAAATTGAATTCATCCATCCAAATTCTTTATGCTTTTTCTGTCTCATTAGCTTAATGGCCCAAACAAATGACAAATGCTTGTAATACTGCTATATTTTAAGTGTTAAAAAGTGGAAACACATTGTTCGAGGAACTGCATTGTTCTTGTTCATTGTCATCAGTGGCCCATGTATTTTGATTCTTATGAGGTAATGACATAATAACAAAGGTTATTTTCAAGTCTTACTACGGATCTTTTGCTCAGCTTATTTCTAAGGGCGCTAACTACATCTGCTGAGATAGTGCACCAAATGTTATTCGGGGAATGACTATAAATTTGAAGTAATATCTGTAAAATAATCTATTTTCCAAATGCAAATTGCTTTCTCTGAATGCTCTTTTCTTCCTAGCATAACTACCCTGTAAAACTCCACTTTTCTAGTACGTAATTCCTTCACACTGCAAAGCACAAACAGAGAATTCAGTGGTGTCTGTCTTCCTCTTTTCAGTCCATGAAAAATTTCTTTAATACACCTTGGCAAATATATATTCTCCTTCTGCAAACATTCATAAAGAAGAAGAACCCAGATTTTAATCAGTATCTCTTACTGGTTGAAGACAGAATTGTTTTTGCTATAACTCATAGTGACCGTCTTTTGTGCAACGGTTCAGATGTAACAGAACTTTGTTTGACTCCATCACCCTTCCAAAAACCCATCTTGTCTGGAAGCGGTCTTTTATATGCACCACAGAAAATGAACTGAAGAGTCTTTTATTCATGTTAACACTTCTGTCTTCTTTTATTAACCCCAGCCTATCTGGGAGAGTGATTATTTTGTGTGTTAATACCTTGCCTAGTCCAAAAGGGACTCGATTCTGACCATGCAGAAACAACATAACAACACCAACAAGATTTTATCTATGTCTGTGTGACAATGCTAGGCTCAGGCAGGGAGAGGAGCTGAAGAGAAGATGCATGACTTCTACATTTAGATATAAAAAATTAAAAGTACTACTCTGTTTCTTTGCAAATCTATTGAAGTGTTAGGCTACTGCTTCTCACAGTGCTTGTAAAGTCAGTGCTTGTGGTATGCTGTCCTCTATTTCATTTCCAATATATCAACTACTGTTCCAATATATCAACTATATCTCATACAGTAGGACATTACTTCTGGTACTGAAGTGTGGACTAACACAGTCGCTGAGAAGAAATTTTCCACAAGAGAACAAGGCATTTGATGTATAAGACTCTTCACCACGGTGATTTAATGGGATTTAAAACACAGCTCCTCCTTTACTCTTTTCTCTACAGTTATCTTTTCATTTTCTTGAAAGTAACACAGTTTTCAGTGATTTTTAAAAGTCTACTATCAATAAAGAGTAGCTACATTAATATATCAGGTTACTCAGAAATACCAACCTCATAAGGTTGCCTACAAAATCAAACAGACAAAATACACCTTAATTAAAATTTTCTATACAAACAGAAAATTTTGTAGTGTTCTATATAGCATAGCTAATAGCAACTGTGAAGATGTGACAGAAAATAGACTTAAATTTTTCAAGAACAAGATGTAGCTAGGCTGCTAATCCCTAGAAAAGTTCATGTTCCCACATCCAAAGTGCTGTTTAACCCTTCCAGATATGTGTGTCTAGCTAATTCTAGTGAGCTCGCATTAACTTACAGGCCTTGCAGTTAATATCTTCTGAAAGGAGTGGAGAAACATCACTGGTCTTCATCACTGGTCACATCTCAGAAGACTGGTGTCTGAATGATACTTATAACCTGAAAAAAAAACAAACCAACACTTTTTGTCCTTTACTGCCAAATGACAGGGTAAATGTAAGACATAAGAAGTCGATGGGCCCCAATGGGATTCATCCCAATGTACTGAAAGAACAGGCTCACGTCATCACAAAACTTCTCTCAATTGTTTTTCAATGGTATTGGGAAACTGGAGAGATCCCCACTGACTGGAAGCTGTCAAACATCCCAGTTTTCAAGTAGAGCAAGAAAGAAGACTCTAGAAGTAACACACACTCTTCAGTGGCTGATAAAATGATGGAGAAGACTATTCTAGGGGGTACTAAAAAACACTTGAAAAGCAATGTATGTAGTCCCTGGTCATAGCCAACATGGGTTGATGAGGGGAAAGTTCTCATTAACTAAATTTTTCCTCCTATGACAACGTTATCCATGTACTGGATAAAGGGAAGTCAGTTGATGTAGTCTTTTTGTATTTTAGCAAAACTTTGGATACTTTTTATCACAGTACCCTTCTGGGTCAAATGTCCAGCATACACCTAGATACACACATGAGCTAATGCATGAACAATCAGTCAGGCTCAAGGGGTTACAGTAAGTGGGGTTACACCAGACTGGTGGCCAGCCACTACTGGGGCTCCATAGGACTGCATTTTAAGGCCAGTCCTCTTTGATGTTTTAATACATGATGTCAATGCAGGACTAGAACGCATACTAAATAAATTTATTGACTGAGAGGACCTGCTAACTCCTTTGAGGGTAGAGAGGCCTTCCAGAGGGATCTTGATAAATTAGAGGGCTGGGCTATCACCAACCATATGACATTTGAGCATGTTGTGGATTCTGCATCTGGAATGAGGAAAGATATAGATTTAGTTAGTTTCCTAGATATACGGAAACCACGGGACAAGAGGCTGGAGGGCAGCCCTGCAGAAAGGGATTTGGGAGTTCTGATTGACTGTAAGCTGAATACGAATCAACAGTGTGTGCTGGCAGCCCAAAGGGCCAAGCACACCCTGGGGTGCACCAGGCCCAGTGCTGCCCACTCTGCTCTGCCTGGTGTGGTCTCACCTGGAGCACCAGGTTGGGCACCAGATACAAAAACAACATAAAGCTATTAGTGTCCAAAGAAGGGCTATGGAGATGGGGAAGTGTTCTGAGGGCAAGGCGTGTGAGGAGGGGCTGAGGTCCCTTGGTTGGTTCAACAGAGCAGAGGGGGCTGAGGGGAGGCTGGAGCTCCCACAGGGAATGGACAGGGACAACTCTACCAGATATATGGTTTAATTTTTAAATACTTACATGTGAAGACAGCAGTTGAACTCAGTGATCCTTGCAGATCCCTTCTAGCTCAGGATATTCCATGATTCTAAGTAAGTACACAGTCATTTCTCTATATTCCTCTGATTCATTTTCCCCTCCAGAAATAAATTATAAAAGTTCCAATTTATTCCCTACATGTGAAATGCTGGTAAATTCCAAAAATAAACTCCTCTGCAAGAAAAGAAAAAGTCTCCGGCTGTAATTCCATTCAAGTGAATCATATCTCCATTTAAGTAAAAGCATATAGGTCGAAATATGTTTATGAAGCAAAATTCTAAACACAGCACATTTGCTTCTATACTGAGCAAACACAGGACTTATTTAGATAAGTAGTTCAATTTGTGGATGTACTCAAATAGCAACAAAAAATAAAACCCGGGAATATGTGACACATTGTTTTCAAAGCAAAATACAAACACTTGGACATAGGCAATTAAGCATTTGCTATGTTTTCTAGATGAATATGCAAATTTGACATTCAAATCAATGTCTAAAAATAATCTCACCCATTCAAAAGCCACCACAATCATAAGGAGTGCAAAGTGTGAGTCTTTTTGCTTTAATTACTTTGCCGTAATATCAGCTAAGGGCAAGGCACTTCAGTGGGTTATCATTTTTCTCCTCCCAACTGTTTCAAAAGTCAAGTAGAGTTTCTCTTGACAAAACAAGTAGAAAATGGAATTTTTATATGGAGAATTTACAGGAGACCAGCATGCAGAGAACCCATTATAGCTAGGAGGAAGAAGCTACTGTAAGAAGGTGACAGCATTGTTTGCATAATACTTTTTTTCCTGTTGCAAATTAACAGTAACTGCTGAACTGGTTTAATAAATTGCATGCATTGTCAGTAGCTAAAAAGAAACATGGAACCAGTTCTGGAAAAAAAGAGAGTGAAAAATATGAAGTAAAAAAGTGTTATGGGATATGCTATCAAGATGTGTATTTACCAATACACAGACACACCACTACTTAATGTTGATTTATAAGAAAAAGGAATCTGATGACCTCTAATTCACTGCCACTTGGCAGAGGTAATGCATCTCTATCTCACGCAATGATGTGCAGCTCCTTAGGTGAAACTAGGCTCCAAGTTTGGATTTTGCACTGCCAGTTCATGGTTCTTGCCCCATTCAAATACAGTTAGTGCCATGGTTCTACTGTTTGCAATTTCAGCATTCTGACCTATGGTGAGATTTTGTAATATTTTATTACTATCATTGAACAAAAAGCAACAAAGTCCTTCACAAGACTTCAAGTCTGTTTCAGCACCATTTCAAGGTCTAGAACAGAACTGTGGTGGCAATTAGGTATTGGAATGGACATCAGTGGAAGATTTATGTTGTTACTCCAAGATAGTATTCTTTTAGCTTTTAGGTATTTAACAAATATACACAAGTGAATAATATCAGAATATCCTTATTAGATTTTAAGCAGGAAAAGGGCCAGAAGAAGTGATATGAGTTAAGGAAACATGACTGTACTGCTCTAGATTAACAGGAAGGGAAATAATGCATACTGAAATGATCAGACTGTGTCCACTGTGCATCTAGGTGCTATGAAATGAAAGCTAAACTTAACTATGAATGGCCTGTGCCAAAGTCCAGTAAAGTCAATCTTCTCTTTTTTAGAGGGGATAGAATTGGTAAGACTCAAAATCAAATTCTCCTTCTTTGATTTAAGCTGCTTTCGGTGTGAAATGACTGCAGAACTAATTCAGTCTAGGACATAATTACAGCTGAAGTGAAAACTAGAAAGAGGAGCAGAAAAACATTAGCACATCAGCGAATCTCTTCATATATATGTGTGTGTGTTCATATATACGTGCAGGTAATATATGAGGATCCACCAGATCTTACTAGCATTTGCAGTAGCAAACACTGTCATGAAGATACTGCTGCCTCCACACACCCCAGCATGTTGATCTATCCCACTTGTGCTGTGTCTGTCTTCTGTTTTCTCTGTGATTTTATCAGTTATAGAAAATGAACAGGACTATGACTGAGTACCTTGAATCCCAAAGTCTATCTAATAGTCATTGCAGGCTTTGATGTGCAGCAGTCTTTGTGAAGAAACACTTACCTTTACATAAACAGGCTGACCTTTCTAACTGGCATTTTGTCAGGACTGGCTGAAGGTGGAGGGGGGAGAGAAGAGGGGGAGAGCAGTCTGTACTACTTGTTGCTGCAAGAGAAAGCATACTCGAAGGCAACGAGGCAAGATGGTATGCTTTTCATTTTTATAACTGCATAATGAATCATGCACATGCCTACATATTTAACAGCTACTACACTTGAAATGGGCACTTCTTTTTTCTCCACTATCAATAACATCTTTCCTCTACTCCTGTTTTCCCCTCCTCCCTGAAGAAAATAAGAAAGCAAAGCAGGGTAAGTCATTACTAAGAGAAAATGACTCCACAGTTCTTTAGTTTAAAAATAACTTAAAGGTGCTGGTGGGGGCGGTGTGTGTGTGGGGGGGGGGGGGGGGGGAAAAAAAATGTGATGCAATTGGGCTTCTGCAAAATCTCACAAAAAGATTTTGGAAGCATAAAACTGTCAGGCTGAACACATGCATACAAACATTTCACCCTACTGCACAGTGAGATGCGTGAGAGAAGACAAAAGCCTTCTTCATCAAGAAGGTCAACAGAAATAACAGTCTTGTGAAGAGTGCATGTCACACAATGGGCAAGTGCTGCTGTCATGCTGTCTGCCATCCCATCTTGCTCAACGTATACATCACATGGCCTATGTAATCACTTTGCTTACTGATCTTGGGAGGCACAGTGCGAACGTGACCAGCTTACCCTGCTCTCATGTTGGGATGCCAAAGCCCCTTGTTGATCTTCAGCCTGTTCCCTGTCAGATTTCAATTGATTAACACCAAGCTCTCAGGCTAATCGTACCTATGGAAAGAGGTGTTTATTAGCCATAAACACGTCTGCTTACAGCGCATATATGCATGAGAGTGGCAGAGCCAGAGAGGTTGCAAGGAGGATCATGCTCCACGAAAGCTGACGCTGCTTCCCCTCCCACACATATCCCTTGAAATTCAGCACACATTCTGGAGCCACTATGTGAGGAAAAGGGAGATTTTTTCCACCAAGCCAGCTCGTGATTTCCATACAGAGAGCCGAGAAGCGCCAAGAAAGGGGGGAGCGAATAGGGATGCTTCGTTAGGCAGGGCGCGAGGGGGGGGGTCTCGAACGCCCAGCAGGAACGCTGCTCAGCCCTACCCTCCGCCACCGGACAACAGCTTTCTGCCGCGATGTCCGCCCTTCCGAGGCGCTCCGAGACACCGCTCCTCCTCGCCCGGCTCCGCCAAAGGGCTGCGGGCTGCGGGCAGCAGACGGGAGCCGGCGGGGAGAAGCGGCTGCGGGGGGGACTGTCAGCGTGAAGGAGGGGAAAAAAAAAGCACAAACCCAACAAGCCGACACCGAAACCAAAGAGATCTGAGACAAAGGCTTCTTCCAGGACAGGGGAGAGGCGGAAGGCAGGGCTCCTCTTACCGCTCGGTACTGCCGCCGCGGCTCGCTGGATGGCGGCTGTGGGAGGAGGAGGAGGAGCGGCCGCCGCGCCGCCCAGCAGCCGACCCGGAGCTGCCCTCCGTCCGGCCCCGGCCCCACCGGCTGCTCGCGTCCCGCAGCGAGGGGCTCTGTGCGGCTGCCCGCAGCCTCTCCGCCCTCCTGGAGAGGATCGGTGACGCCGGCAGCCCCTCCACCGGAGCTCCGCCGAGCCGACCCGGCCCTTCCCAGCCTCCCGTTGCCGGCTCGGTCTGGGCTGTGTTGGAGCAGGCTCGGCGCAGCCCCTCCGTTCCAGCCCGCTGTGCACATCCCGCCGTTCGTTGTTCTTTCCTTGAGGAGCACCGCCATCACCGCACACACACACAAACACACACAAAAGGAAAAAAAAAAAAAAAAAGAAAACCGACCCAACCAAAGCCCCGCAAACAAACAGGCAACAAAATAAATCTTAACCCCTCCCTGCAACTCCTCATGCTATTCGGATTTCCTACCCTCTCTCCTCCTCCGCCCCTCCACTCCCCCCCCCCCCACCAGTTTCTCTGGGCCCCGTGCCTCCCCCCGCACACACACACGCACAGTGTGGATGGGTTTTGTACTTGCTGCTGTGCCACACGGAACTGCTGATGGTTTCCAAAGTCCCACCACCACCATGCCCATCCCTCCTTTAGCCTGAAGCCGGAGATATGGACTGTACGTTTGGATTCGGGATGCATTTTGCTCACAGCCGCTTCGCTTCCTGAAATGTCACCCGGTGAGTAGGTTTTATTTCACATTTAGATTGCTTGTCTTCAGCAAACGGACACTTAAAAGAGAAAAAAAAAAAAAAAAATGAAAATGGAAAGGAAAAAAAAAAAAAAAAAAAAAGAGGAAAGAAAGAAAAGCAGCCTCTCCGTTGCCTCGCCTTGCCTCTCAGCCTCCCAGCAGAGCGGCTCGCTCCGCTTCCCGAACTCGAAGGAATTGGAAGCACCAGCCCTGCCTGCACAGATCCGTTCCGTGCGTTAGTCTCAGCTCCCGGCTCTACATCGCACCGCTCCGCAGCCTCACACGCGCAGCCTTTATGCCATTCCGCCGCTTATTCATCACATTGTATTAATGTTTCCATCAGACGCTCTACCTGCTACATTCCCTAAGTTTAACTCCTGCAGGCACAGCTGATCGCGGGGGGTTGGGGGGGGGGGGGGGGGGGGGGGGGGGGGAAGGGCTCGGAGGAAAAGTTCATTGCCCTCACTGATCCCCGAAGGAGCGAGGATTGGATTGGGGGGTGGGGAAGCGTGCTTCAGAAGGGATCGGAAAGTCACACAAGGAATCCCCAAACCCCACTCGCTCTGTCCTGTCGCTTGCGCTGGAAGGTGCCAGCGGCCGGGCTGCGCGCCGGGGGCGGCCGGGGCGGCTGCGGCTGCCAGCACCGCCGGGTTCGGTACCGCCAGGCTGGGGGATGCTGTGAACCGCAGCACCGCCGGATTCGGTACCGCCGGGATAAGGATGCTGTGTTACAGCTTGCCTGGGGGTAGAGAACAGGCTTCGTCTGCACCAAACGTAC